TTTAAAGCCAATAACTGAGTATATTTTCAGCTTAAAATTCTGGGCTTTTGATTGACCCATTGTTCTAAAAAAAAGGTCGTAGATAAAATGTCGTATGTTACCTTTACTCAATGCGGTTTAGAGTTTTTCATTACACAACTCTGTATTACCGGCCTAATGTTGTCATGTCAGGCCTTTTGGTATGAAAAAATATTACAGAGTTCTGTATTACCGGCCCAATATTGTCAGGCCTTTAGGGGTACGAAAATATTACAAAGTTCTGTTTTATCGGCTTCAATTTGAAATTTACATAAATGACACTGATGACATTCCAAGGCCTACTCGATTGAGCTAGCGGTGTTGCCACATGATAAAATTCAATTTTTGAAAATCCTCATCTCTTGATTGGCTTATTAAATGAATTTGAAAGCCAATCAAGAGCCGGGAATAATCAAAATTTGAATTATAAAGCCAATAATTGAGTATATTTTCAGCATAAAATTCTGGGCTTTTGATTGGCCCATTGTTTGAAAAAAAAGGTCGTAGATAAAATGTCGTAAGTTACCTTTACTCAATGCGGTTTCCAGTTTTTCATTACAGCGCTCTATATTACCGGCCCAATGATGTCAGGCCTTTAGGGGTACGAAAATATTACAAAGTTCTGTTTTATCGGCTTCAATTTGAAATTGACGTAAAGGACACTGATAACATTCCATGGCCTATTCGATTAAGCTAGCGGTGTTGCCATATGGTAAAATAAGAATTTTTGGAAATCCCCATCTCTTGATTGGCTTATTAAATGAATTTGAAAGCCAATCAAGAGCCGGGAATAATCAAAATTTGAATTTTAAAGCCAATAACTGAGTATATTTTCAGCTTAATTCTGGACTTTTCATTGGCCCATTGTTCGAAAAAAAAGGTCGTAGATAAAATGTCGTATGTTACCTTTACTCAATGCGGTTTAGAGTTTTTCATTACAGAACTCTGTATTACCGGCCTAATGTTGTTATGTCAGGCCTTTTGGTATGAAAAAATATTACAGAGTTCTGTATTACCAGCCCAATGTTGCCAGGCCTTTAGGGGTACGAAAATATTACAAAGTTCTCTTTTATCGGCTTCAATTTGAAATTAACGTAAATGACACTGATGACATTCCAAGGCCTACTCGATTAAGCTAGCGCTATTGCCACATGATAAAATAACAATTTTTGGAAATCCCCATCTCTTGATTGGCTTATTGAATGAATTTGAAAGCCAATCAAGAGCCGGGAATATTCAAAATTTGAAATTTAAAGCCAATCAAGAGCTGGGGAGCGACGTTGCCAAATGATAAAAATTAAAAGAAATTTAAAAAAATACCATTTTATATGGGATTTTGCCCCCAAATCAAGCAAAAATTCCCTAAAAATGATTCTAAAAACGTAAATTTCCCCTCGGGAACACCAATATTCATGCAGGTCTCACCAGGACAGTCTGGTACTTTTCACTAAGGCATGATTGCGTCAGCCTGAGCCTGATGCTATTTTGATCGCATTCAAAAGCCTTGCTCAGGTCACAGAACAATGCGCTATAGTACTTCCAATCCTCAAAAGAATTCATGATCCTCCAAGCGTGTCCAAAAGTGCCAGAATTGTGTTCCTACTTCTACTAGACCCAAACTGTCTGTCGGTGAACAAACTGTTACACTTAAAAAACTCCACCATCTGAAGGGCCAAGATTTTTTCACATATTTTTGATATCACAGGAAACAAGGAGAGCCCCACTCTTCATCCCCCTTTTTAAATATTGGTATAATTAGCGCACTTTAGGACGAACACTTTCTGATGCATTGATTGAATAATTTAGTAAGAGGAATGATTATCAGGTTCCTCATACTCGACACAAGCCCCACAGACACACCATATAATATGTTTGAGCATTTTTTCTTCTTCAATCCAGACTGTCCCTAAACTGCATAGGAGAAGATCAGCATTTTGGCCGGCAAGTCATTTTTTAAGTTGTGGGCAATAGTCGAGAAAAAAAGTATTGAATTCATCAGGTGATAGCGAAGTACCGAAGAAGTGCTTTTTTTAGTATTTCATACTACCCTTTTTACCCCGTATTTATTATTTTCTACATATATTTGGTAGAGTTGCAAGCAGGGGCGGATGCAGGGCTTTTAAAAGGGGAAATGAGCAGTTTAAGTTAAAGTAAGCTAGATTGGGTTAGTTTTTGGAACAATAGGAATTAGTAATACTACTTCAGCAAACTAGTAACATAATGTGACAAGTTATTCAAGTACAAATGAGTGAATTGTTGCGGAACTTATAGGTGGACTTCTGCGGGACGAGCGCAGCGAGTTCCGCAGTCATCTATTCATTAATACGTTGTTCAAGTACGATACTAACTTGACTCACTCAAATGTCACTTATTCTCATTAGTTCAATAACTACAAATTTCAGGTGAGTGTCTTATTTGAATAGTTCAACAGTATATTGGTGAGTGGTTGGCTGCGGGACTCGGTGCGCTCGTTCCACAGAGGTCTACTCATAAGTTCTGCAATATTCCACTTATTTGTACTTAAACAATATCTTATTATATAAAGTCAAAATTTGTAAGATTATGATTATTCACTTTTTGTCAATTTGCCTTTCAATAGAAATAAGTAATGTTACTTTACCAAACTAGTAACATAATGTGACAAGTTATTCAAGTACAAATGAGTGAATTGTTGCGGAACTTATGGGGGGACATCTGCGGGACGAGCGCAGCGAGTTCCGCAGCCATCTATTCATCAATATGTTGTTTAATTACGATACTAACCTGACTCACTCAAATGTGAGTTATTGTCATTAGTTTAAAAACTATACGTTTCAGGTGAATGTCTTACTTGAACAGTTCAACAGTATATTGCTGAATAGATGGCTGCGGAACTCGTTGCGCTCGTCCCGCAGAGGTCCACCCATAAGTTCCGCAACAATCCACTTATTTGTACTTGAACAATAACTTATTATATTCAGTCAGATTTTGTAAGATTATCCACTTTTTGTCAATTTGCCTTTTAACAGGAATTAGTAATGTTACTTTACCAAACTAGTAATATATTGTGACAAGTTATTCAGGAGCAAATGAGTGGATTGTTGCGGAACATATGGGTGGACCCAGCTATCTATTCATCAATATGTTGTTCATGTACAATACTAACCTGAAGTTGTGAATTTTTCTTCCGCAATAATCCACTTATTTATACAGGGTGTTTTAATAGGAAAGGTTTGGTAAAATCAAGGTGTTGTAAAATAAAATCATTCATGAGTAGATTTTTGCAAGTTTCAAAACTATGATTAAATTCAGAGTCGTGAACTATTTTCTTATTTTTTTTTCAAACACACGTCATAGGTTTAGTGATTTTGGCAAAGTTTTTTATGAATTTACCATAGTATCCAATCAATAATGATTTTGATCTCTTTAGTGGTTTTGGGAATTGAGAATTTCTTGATAGCGTCAATTTATTTCGGGTTTGGTTTAATTTCTTCGGGGATTATTACATGACCTGAAAATTTGACTGTCTTCTTCAGAATTCTGATTTGTCTACACTTTCTTTTTTTCCAAGATAGATTTTGACATTGAAAACTTTGAAACATAAACAATAACGCTTGACCCTGATTGGTCGCAAAATGAGGTGTTTCTGCAGGTTGACATCAGTTTTACAATGGCGACCAATAAGCGGCATTAGCGGCATTGTTTATGTTTCAAAGTTGACAATGCCAAAATCTATCTTGGAAAAAAAATAAACCATAGTTGAATGTTCAGATTGAACTGCTCTAATCTTTGGAATATTCTTTTCAGAATTTTGATGTGTTCTTGGAGTAAACAATCATGTCATCCATATAGACTAAACATATTTTGTTTTGTAGTTCGGATAAAACATTGTCCATCACTCTTTAAAAAGTGGCTGGGGCGTTTTTTAAGCCAAAGGGCATGCATGTATATTCGTAATGCCCGTTTTCTACGTTAAAAGCAGTTTTAGGAATTAGACTTGGGTACATTTCCACTTGGTGGAAACCAGAAGCTAGATCTAAGGTTGTAAAATAGTTGCTTGGCCAGAATGTCAGATATATTTGGCAATGGATATCTGTCATCAATGGTTTTTTCATTATAGTGAATGACCATTCGCCATTTCAGTTTGTCTGAAGCGTCTTATTTCTTGGGGACTATCCGCACAGGGGATGACCAAGGGCTTGAGGACGGTCTAATATTATTTTCGTTTATCATTTTTTAAATTTGTTCATTAACCTGGGGGTAACGATAAGTTTTTAAATGAACAGGGATCTCGTCTATTATCTTTATTTTGTGTTTTACCTGATTGGTAAATGAGAGTTTTTCGTCTGGTTTATGGAACTTTTTGGATAATTTTACTTCATCCCATCGACTCTATGTATTGATGTGTCTTTGCCAATTCTGATGTTGACACCTTATTTGCCTATCTTCGTTTTTCTTATGCATTGTGTTTTCTATTGATCTACCAAACTTGATCCCAATACGAAGTAAAATACTTATTCATACTTCAAGTAAGCTCCGGTAGCAAAATCGCTTTTTCCAAACGAAATCATCACAATGTACAAAGATTACCAACGCATCATTGACGAATGTCCATCGAGAAATTCTCGAATGTCGATACACAAAAAGCCGAAAAAGGTCTAAGCGTGGCTAATCCAATCGAGCCGAGTCATACCTTTTCCTCTGAGCTCTTTTGTGTCATTACGGAGGCGCTTAGGACCACCTGGGCAACTTGTTGGCGAATTTATTTTGTGAATTAGGTCGGAAGAGATTCGATTAAGTGTTTTTAATTAAACAATCAATAGCGAAAGTTTTTTTTAATTACAACAAGTGTTGCAGAGGATAATAGCGTTGATGAGAAAAATAATTAGTCATTACGGTAGCAGAATGGTTAATTGAAATTTGCAATACGTAATACGAAGTTAATTATTGCGATTCTTATATTGGGCATAATAACATTAAGTAATTTGTAGGTATTTATTATAAAATATTTCCTACTAAAAGATTCCATACTCTACTGCGTGTTTGCAAATATCTGTTGCCCTTTTTTGAAAAATTTGTCCTTCTCGAGTTTCTGATATTTTCGGTGTCCAAAATTTTATTTTGGTTGGATCTTCTTGGCTTGTTATTGAGCTCAGTTCGTTTTCGTCTAGCAATTTTTGTATCCAAAAGGCTACACCTAAAATACCTAAGTAAAGCAATTGTGAAAACTCTCCAATAAAATGTTACCAATTGCTATTGCACCGGCAGAATATATTTTCCACTCTTCAATCAGAACAGCACAAGGATAAATTTGTTGTGGATCGCCTCCAAGCTCTTGAAGAAACTCGGAAAAGCTATTGTAATATATCCGTAGGTAACAGTCAAGTTTGTCCATGTCAGTTTTTCCTGCATGCGTATAGAAAATGGTGGAGAGATCGTGAACTGGTGTGCTGGCACAAGTCAATTGGAAATTTATGAGTTTCACGTTTTCTAATGCATTATTGGAGGTCTGTAAATAATATTAAAAAAATTAAATTGCTCATGGTAGCAAAGGTCGAGAAGAGGATCTGAGTTTACTATAACTGATTTCCACTATTTTGAAATTTTGATATTTGAAGTAAATATGGAACTTTTGATATCAGTTTTTTGTCATATACATATAGTTACTTCTTCTAATTAGGGTTCCCACTATGTACCAGATTATTTGTACACTAGACTACTAGCCATCATAACCAACGTTGGAAGCTGAAGAATAACGGGAAATTTAAAGTAGGTAACCGTTTACTTTGGCTCACCCGTTATTTCAGTAAACTAGAACAATTTCATTCAAAAATTTATAAATGCAAATCTGCTTGGTTTTATGTTTTCAACTCCAGATCAAATGGTTCAAGAGCAGTCACCAATGGAAAAGTCAACTCTCGTCCAACAACATGTTCCGTGTCTCGTTCTTCAACGTTCGGAGCATTTGGGATACAGATTGACACGCTCCAAGTGCTTGTTCGAAATGCACTTAGATGAAAAATTGGACCAAAAGTTGGCATACAGCTTACTTACTTGAATGTTAGGACCTATCCAAATGGACTTGGATTATACGAGGTTGACACGGTCCAAGTGTACTTGGATAAAGTACAGGACGATACTTGAATCTAGGTCGTAACATAAAGCTGGCTGCCAACTTACTCGGTCCAAGTTCTCTATCTAAGTGCTTTTGGACCAAAAACTTGGACAGTGTCAACATGTTTAGGACCTATCCAACTGGACTTGGAAAAACAGTTAATACGATCCAAGTATCGTCCTAGTGAGGAGCTTAGACCATGTAAACCTGGATTTAGTCTCGAGTGTAATCACTTTACACATTGTTTGATAATCTCAAGTGCGTTTCTCAATTTGCTATTAACTAAATCTAAGTATTTATTTCCGTCCCTTATGTATATCTCATCAAAAACCATCTTGTGGTTCTATACCTATAGCACTAACTATATAAAAAGTTACTAGATAAGATATTATCATGTGTTTATTTCATTTAAATTAGGATTTCACCAAAAAACACAATCTCGAGTGAATCATAATTCCTATAAAAACACAAATATTTACCTTATCATATTTAAACATCAAATTGCATAATCTGTAATCCACATGCGTAAGACACGAATAACTTCCATTATATTGCCTTGCATTTGCTACAGTTTCCTTAAAATCAATATTCATGAAGGTTTTTATGATGTCGGCATCTAAATTTCCAATTGCCGCTAAATATGCTGCCTCCAGGCATCTTATGTCGTTTTGTTTATGTTTGCACACCCTTATATCAACCAAGTCTTTAGTAATTTCCTGGAATGAGTCTGGATGTTCGTGTTTATAAGCAAACGAAAGGGCATGGAATTTGGCATAGATTCTGAAAATCATTTCCAATTGTTCTCTGTGTAATAGCTGTTTTCGATTGGATGGTCTATATCCAGCTGGCACAATATTTTCCAAAAAAAGATAGCCATCTGAATAGCAGCCTTTATATTGAGGAATATTTCTGAAAAATTGTCTCACGTTTTTTTGTTTCCGAAATCTATCCAATTTAGGAAAAATAATCTTATAAAACGATATTTCATTGTTGAAGCTTTTCTCATAAGTCCAACCTTCATTACTAAACACATTTTTTCACCTGTATCCTTACTTTTACACCAACCTGTAAACGTCGTACACCAACCGGAACAAATAGGATTGTTCGGACTTATGTAAACTTCATAATTATCTTTTGTATTATTTAAGTCACTCAACATTACTAGAATTTGTAGCTTTATGTCAGGAGATTTTTTCGACATTGTTGTTCAAATATCAAATATTCACTTAATTGAATATTTACAGTATTACTGCGTTAGAATGTATAGTACTCAAGGTATTTTACGCTCTTCCGTTATGTCAAAATCTTATCATTTTATCTCTCATGATAGCGTAATATTTATGACAAAGGAAATGCAACAATGTGTGATAAAACAAAAGTCGATTAAATTTGAAAATTTGGTTGTATAGACATACATATATATGCTTCATGTTCTAGAAAGATTTCGTAGACATCAGTATTGCAGCTTCTTTGATAATATTTTTATTGGTATAATTCAAATTTGTGGGATCTTCCTTTGTTTTTACATGGGTAGATTAAATTTGTTTGAATGGAGATGGCGCAAAAGCGTCATCTACCACTGCAACCTTATCGGATCTATTGCGGTATCTCCTATATCTTCTTAGATTGCGTTCTCTAGATCAATCTTTTTTATTAGACTCCAGAACCATGATACTGGCCACTCCATATAGCTTGCAGCATTGGGTTTGTCCTCTCCAAGCCACGCAAACCTTAGTGACATCATACATGTACGGCAGTTTATTGCAGAACCTGGGCTATCCTTTGCCAGACTCATTCTTTCCAGGTGCTTGTTAAGTTTGCAAAGCCCTGTTAATTGGGCTACCGAGCAGGATTTGATGAACTGCTTTGGTCTTTCGTTATCCTGGTGTTTACCTCTACCAGCTCTGGAACTCTCTATCCATCCAGTTCTCGAAAGATGTTTTGAAAAGGCCTGCAGAGATTCCGCAGAATGGTTCTGGGTCCATCATCTCAGGTGGCTGTGCCTCCTTTGGCTAAGTCATCGGCCTTTTCATTTGCTGGGTATCCCTTAGGTTTGGTACCCAAGCTATGGTGAGTTGGTTGAACCAGGTCCACCTGCTCTAGGTCACGTATAGAGTCCTCAACCAGCTTGGAGCTGATCTTCCGGGAGCTCTTTGCCTTAAAGCCGCCTGAATGTCCGAGTAAATAACGATGTGTTTGCTCTTAATTTTCCTCTCATTTATCAGTATGGCACAGTGAATTATTGTAGCGATTTCCCCCCTTATCGAACTCAAAAATTTTTGAAATATTTAACTGTTACCTCAATTTTGACATAAATAATGATATAATAATGGAAAGAGTAAACCCTATAGAAAAAGTTTATTTAAAATCTTTAGTAAGACATCATTTAAATCAAGAAAAACGTAAACAACTTCTCAACTTGCCTAGAAAATGAATAAATATTCTCATATCAAATCAAGCATGTAATAACTACAACGGACGAAATCCCAACAAATACAAAAAAATTATAGATAATACCTCTATATTCACAAAAACGGAGTGAATAGGCAAATAGACCAAATTCTCCAAAATGGAATCATCCAACCATCCTGTTCTTCTTGGAGTTCCCTTATATGGATAGTTCTTAAGAAAACAGATGCGTCAGGACAAAAGAAATGGAGAGTAGTACCTAATTGATTACAGCAAGTTGAATGAGAAGAATTGAAATGGACCCAAAAAGTATTCCTAAAACAGCATTTAATGTAGACCATGAACATTAAAGAATATACACGTATGCCCTTCGGCTTAAAAAATGCTCCTGCTACTTTCCAACGAGTAATGACTAATGGATAATGTTTTACGAGGATTGCTAGGAAAAATCTGTCTAGTATATATGGATGATATCATTATCTATTCAACCAGCCTTCAAGAACACATAAGCTCCTAGAAACTAGTATTCGAACGATTAATGTCTTTCAATATGAAAATACAATTAGAAAAATCTGAATTTTCACATAAAAATCATAAGTCCAGAAGGTGTGAAACCAAACCCTCGGAAAATAGAGGCAGTCAAAAATTTTAGAATACCCAAATATCTCCGTAGATACCAGCTCCGAACCCCTGTTGGTCTTGGAGCCGTTGGTGTACCAGATGTAGTCTACTTTAATTGGAAGAGCTTCCTTCCAATCTTCCCTAGCCGGTATGGCAACCCGGAAGTGCCTTCTGAAGATGAAAATAGATGTTGTTTTATCTGAGGGCATCTCAAACATGGAGCTGATCCTCCTGTATTTTCCAGGTCACGAGCAACTTCTCTTTATAATGTCATCTGACTATATTCAGCAATTTCCAATAAATGATAAAAGTTGTAGGTTAGAGATTACTCTTGTTTCGGAATGATACAGCCGCCCAGTATGCTAGTTCACCAGATGTTTTATATGAATGGTTAATCGTTCTCTCACTTCTTTGAGACGTTAACCTTTTCCCAAAAATATTTCAGTTTCTTACAAAACTGAGCAAAGCGCATTCACAGCGCTGATCCTCTGCTGTTTCTGTTGCTTGTTCGCAAATTCTGAAAAAGTCATCTTCTGATGCTTTTCCTATTGGTCCTAGGTTTTATTGAAGGGTACATGCTTACAAATCTTAGGACAAAGTCGCTAGCAGCTCTTCTTTTTCTTTCTCTGTATAATCTTCTTCAATGCTTGAGCCCATTTTACAATGAACGTAACGTAACCGTAAAGACATAACATAAGTGCTAAGCATGCGCACATCAGATTCATTTGCGTCAAATATGTCACCGGAAACGCAACGTAACAACTCTCATCTTCTCTTACGTTGCGTTTCTGGTGATATATTTGACGCAAATAAATCTAATGTGCGCATGCTTAGGACTTATGTTACGTCTTTACGGTTACGTACCGTCCATTGTATAAATATCCAATACCAAATATTGCAGATATTTTAGATAAACTAGGACGTTGTCAATATTGTAGAGCTTTGGATTTAGCCAGTGGGTTTCACCAGATTGAAATTGACTCAAAAAGTATTCCTAAAACAGCATTTAATGTAGACCATGGACATTACGAATACACAGGTATGCCCTTCGTCTCAAAAAATGCTCCTGCTACTTTCCAACGAGTAATGGATAATGTTTTACGAGGATTAATAGGAAAAATCTGTGGATGATATCATTATCTATTAAACCAGCCTTCAAGAACACATAAACTTCTCAAAATTAGTATTCGAACAATTAGTGTTTTTCAATATGAAAATACAATTAGACAAACCTGAATTTTTAATTTTTACAGAAAAGTGTCGAATTTCTAGGACACATTATCATGACTCCGGAAGGGGTCAAACCAAACCCTCGGAAAATAGGGGCAGTCAAAAATCTTAGAATACCCAATAAATGTCCACCTCCGAACCCCTGTTGGTTTTGGAGCCGTCGGTGTACCAGATGTGGTCTACTTTAATTGGAAGAGTTTTTATCCAATCTCCCCTATCCGGTATGGCAATCCATCTCAAAAAGGGAGCTGACCCCTAGATCCTCCTCCATTTTCCAGGTCATAAGTAACTTCTCTTTTAAATGTTATCTGCCTATGTTCAGCAATTTTCAATAAATGAGGAAAGTTGTAGATTGGAGATTACTCTTGTTTCGGCATGATACAGCCGCTCAGTTCTGCTGGTTTACCAGATGTTTTGTATGTATGGTTAATCTTTCTCTGACTTCTTTGGGACTTTAACCGTGTCCCTCCAAAGTATTCCAACCTCTTACAAAACTGAGCAAAATGCATTCACATATCAGATGGTGCTTGTTCGCAAATTCTGAAGAAGTCATCTTCTGATGCTTTTCCTATGGGTTCTAGGTTACACTGAAGGGTATATACTTACAAATCTTAGGCAAAAGTGTTCAGAGCAATCCAGGAAAAGTGTGTCATAGCACTCATAGCCTTAATATATATTTATTTGGAAAATACAAATTGGTTATGTTATATTTTATTACACGTAAGAAACATTATGTTGTCTGTTAAATTTCTATAATTTCTCCAAAGTTAAAAGGCTGTCGTGGTCCTTGTAACTTCTCTGGCTTTGATGTCCAATTTAGAAATAAAAACTTATAAAAATTCGATTCCTATGTACAGTTATTTCGGTATATTACCTATTTCCCAACAAAATCCTGGCTCTAAAATTAGATCCTTTTCCCCCATATAAAAGTGCACACGTTAACTTTTTTGCCTCGGTAGACTTGCAGTCTCCAAGGGTGGTCTTACCCATACCCACTTAAACTCGAAAAAGGTTACGGTAGATTTTAAAATCGTATTGGCCCCACCCATGGGTTGGAGCACCAATCACGAATCACTATAAACGCGAACGAACAAGCTCGACTTGCCAATAGTGACCGCCCATTTACCGCACCTCTGGGTTGGTACGGTCATCAACTACTTCGTCTTGGTCAGTTTTCGTTAAGAGGTACTGACTGGAAGCTTCGCGATACTTATTTGTTAGATTTTGGTAGAATTTTTTGGACAAATTTTGTGAATTAGTACTAGAACTTTTTTAGTTTTTTTTTTTTTGAAGTGATAGTGATTGTGGTTGAGTGTACCTACCTAAATGGCTGTATCGACTATGAGTATGCCGCCCTACTTCACTGGATATCCCTTCCAAGGTAAGCATTTTTGGGATTTTGATGAAATGTTTCTATAAAAATTTAATGCAAATGGCTAGAAGCATGGACAGAAATTAATCTCTATGAAGCAAAGACAATACCTAATTTTGGGTAATAACTAAAAAATTTAGGGCAAAAAGTAGTGGAGAAGCTCTTAAGCTTCATAGGAAAATAACATTTTTGAACTAGATCAGAACACAACATTCATAAAATAGTAATTTCTCTCAGATAATACTTTTTGAGTATCATACTTTTAAAAATTGTGAAAAACTATACCACCATCAAGTTGTTTTTGTTAATTTCCATGGCCCAATTTTCCATAAAAACTCCAAAGGTAATATGAAATAATTGCCTTATAAAAATAATCTCCGAGAATAGGTAGGTACCATTCATTGCCTTAACGAGACGACTTGCTCAGCCTCATCCATATTATGCATCTGAAACTTAATTACCAATTTAAAATTAAAGCACATTTGAATAATTCGCTGGGAAAAAAAATCACACCTTATATGTCGCAGGCAAGATCGACACATCAGAATTTAAATTGCGACAGATTATCGTCAATATAGCTGCGCGAATTTTCAAAATAATTATATGTTGCATGAGGATTTTTAAAGAATTAATTAACATCTTGTTTCGTAATTTTTTTCATTTTTTGTTTACATTCACACAAGAAATCTTTCTAATCAAACAGTAGCTCAAACACGCCCGAAAATCTGATTTACCGGAAAATTGTTCGATAGTCCATGAAGAACCAACAGACCACCCGGGTGGCCTTCAACAAAAAAAAGAACCTCCAATTTGATTCGAGTGAAGTTGGCCAGAAAAACCATTCATTGTGTAGCTTAAATTGAACTCAAATACCTGAATGCACATTGTACAATCGCCGTGTTATTCCTAACTTGAATAGCATTAATGTTATACAATTAAGCCCAGAGAGAAAGAGAGATTGACATGAAAGATATGAGATTGAGCGGAAGGAATTTGTGTAAATAAATAATGCATTTTATATGCATGCAATAATTGTAAATGGATAATTGACGTTTTGATATAAATTCATGTGTTATGTTGAGATCCAGGTAAATTTTTTCCATTCTTCAGTGGAACTATGCACTTTCAAACACGTGAAAACGAAGTAAAGTATCCAGGGTTGGGATGGGGGAGGGGGGCAAAGGAGGAATTACCACTCCCCCTCCCCCCAGAGCAACAACCTTTTATTCCTTCTATTTCTTTAAAATATAGCAAATAACTTTAAATGCATTGGAAATCACTTACAAAGTCCAGAACAAGTAAGAATGACTTTGAACGGATCCTAAGTTGATTCAGATACTTTTGGAGCTACTCTGGACAATTTCCAGGAAGTTTTTCAACAATTGGAGTGATTCAGAACTGTTGAGAGTAACTGCAAATGCATTGTAAGTCACTTAAGAAGCTTTTGAAGCATTGAAACTACATTCTCAGTGATTTTAAAACTTCAGAACAAGTAAAAGTGACTTTGAATGTATCATATATTGATGCTTACGGCCGAATTTATAGTCGTTCCTTGAATCTTCCTTGGAGACGCGAGTTTAGAATGGACACTTGCTACTATTTGACTAGTTAGTCATGTGATTTCTAAACGGTCAAGGCTTCCTCAAGGTCTGAGGAAACCTCAAGGACCGACTATAAATTCGGCCCTTAGAGCAGGTAAAGGTAAAGAGGAGTAGTAACATAGAGTTGGAAAATGAAGCCATTTTTTTCCAGGTATTTTGACACAAAAAAAAATGGCGGTATAGGCAATCGATGAGGCAATTCAATGCTTCACCTGTATTTTGGTACCACCTGCCAAAAACTTGGTTTCACTTTAGTTTCATAAGCAGAATGGGGCGTTCCTATTCCTTATGTCCGTAGGACACCGCTTTTACCAGCTCTAAGTGCAGATACTTTTAGAGCTACTCTGGACAATTTCCAGTAAGTTTTCGTCTCACTCCAATGATTCAGAACTGTTGAGAATAACTTCGAATGCATTGGAAGTCACGCTTTTGAAGCATTGCAGCTACTTTCTTAGTGATTTTAAAATTCTGAAACAGGTAAGAGTGACTTTGTATGAAACATGAGATTATTCAATACTTTTGGAGTTACTCTGACAAGATTTTCGATGATTGGAGAGATTCAGAACTGTTAAGAGTAACTTCAAATACATGGGAAGCCACTTAACCCGGCATTACACGCGTCAAAAAACTTACATCATTACCCGCGTTCGGTCAAATCGACCGATTGCCCGAAAGTTCATATGAATTATTAGCTTTTTTCGCGGAGACGATCCCAAACATATCCTGAACGCTAAAGCATGACCTACGCAGGTTTGCTAATTAATAGAGACATGAAACTTTCAAATATTATCGAATGTAATACCACAAGAGGTTTCAGGATTACCGGATAATACTTTTACATGTCACGAAACGCGTTACGCAGCAAGGAGGAGTGGCGTTGCTGGTAACGCGTTGAGTGTCAGGTAAAAGTATTAGGTAATCCTGAAACATCGAGTGGTATTCAAAAGGTTATACAACGAACTAAACTTCAATACTTTATTAATTTTTATTATAATTGATAGCAAATAAACAATATTGCCACCAAGCGCGATAATCCCAAAAGGCTTATCACTTATTAAGCCTCTCGTGTCATATGGGAATAATGTACAGTGAGTTGTATAACCTGTGTAAGTCATGTCTTAGCGGTCAGGATATGTTTGGGATTGTTTCCACGAAAAAAGTGTACAAGCACTATAATCCATAGAATTCATAATCATTATAAAGGGAATTATATTATGAAATACAGTTACCGTATTATCGGTAGCCAAAAGTACTCCCAATATGAGAAAACGCCAATTTTGAACACAAATCCTTTAGATACTCAGGTTCACGCGCCTAGTCAAAAGCACCGACTATGAAAACAGCGAACTATATTTCAACCAAAAACCAAAATATTTTTGGGCCAATGGGTAGTGGAAAACCTGAATCAGGCATTCCTGGATAGACAAAACTGCCAGCTTTGTTCCAGTGACATAATTACTGATTTTATCAATGGTCGGTCTTTTTAAACGACACGTGTGTACTCTCGGGTTAAGAAGTTTTTGAAGCATTGGAGCTACTTTCTCAGAGATTTTAAAACTTAAGAACAAGTAAGAGTCACTTTGAATGGATCATAAATTAATTCAGATACTTTTGGAGCTACTCTGGACAATTTCCAGTAAGTTTTCGACAATTGTAGTGATTCAGAACTGTTGAGAGTAACTTCAAATGCATTGGAAGTCACTTAAAAAGCTTTTGCATTGCAGGCACTTTCTCAGTGATTTTAAAGTTCTGAAACAAAAGTGACTTTGGATGAACCATAAGATGATTCAAATACTTTTGAATCTACTCACTTTCTCAGAGATTTTAAAACTTAAGAACAAGTAAGAGTCACTTTGAATGGATCATAAATTGATTCAGATACTTTTGGAGCTACTCTGGACAATTTCCATTAAGTTTTTCAACAATTGGAGTGATTCAGAACTGTTAAGAGGAACTTCAAATGCATTGGAAGTCACTAAGAAACTTTTGAAGTATTGAAGCTACATTCTCAGTGATTTTAAAAGTCTAGAACAAGTAAGAGTGACTTTGGATGGATCATAAGATGATTGAAATCCTTTTGAAGCTACTGTGATAATTTCCAGTGAGTTTTTCGACGATTGGAGTGATTCAGAACTGTTAAGAGTAACTTCAAATGCATTAGAAGTCACTTCAGAAGCTTTTCAAGCATTGGAGCTACTTACTCAGTGATTTCAAAAGCCTAAAACAAGAAGGAGGGATCGTCGAAAAACTTCTTGGAAATTGTCCAGAGAAGTTCCAAAAGTATCTGAATCAACCTTAAGATCTGTCAGTCACTCTTACCTGTTCTGAACTTTTTAAGTTATTTCCAATGCATATAAAACTACTCTCGACAGTCCTGGGCCTGGATTCCGAGCCCACGATTCGATAATATCGTCCATATAAAATAGATAGACGATACTATCGAATCGTGGGTTCGGAATCCGGGCCCTGAATCACTCCAATCATCGAAGACATTTCAAATGGGGAAGTTCAAGTACCAGTCGAGTTTAGCTGAACTCTGTTTTGAACCAAGATTGTACAACAAATAATATGCATAAGACAAGGCAAATCTCCTGAATCAGGTAATATTCATCCTGAATTTTTACAACTCTCCGATGACTAAGAAAAAATAGGATTTCCATGGGGTTTCTTGCACAACGTCCAGTTATTTAGTTATCTAAAAGAGCTGGTTATAAGATTTCTCCAGGTAGGATTTATTAGAACCGATCATTTCTAGAATTCCATGGTTTATTTATCTAGTTCAAGCTCAGCTATAGAGAAGAGCCAGGAATAGGATTTTTCTGGTCCTCCAGTTGAAGTTCCAATTTCAAGATAGTCTAGAAGACTTTCAAGCTTCTCTGGTTCAAAAGTGAGCATTTTGAACTTCTCCCCAGGCTTAACTTTAACTCTGAAATGGCCAGAAATCAGAGCTGTATACCTGTCAACGTCCATTTTGGATCTAGTAGTGTCGGTGTTAGGAATTTGAAGCTGCTCCAGTTGAATTCTGAGTCTATTACTACAGAAACGACATATGTATATAAGCTTATTGTTATTAAAATATTATGAAAATTGATTCCAAAACATATACTAATAGAGTCAGAATACAACTGGAGCAGCTTCAACTTCCTAATTAAAACGACACTACTAGATCCAAAATGGACGTTGACAGGTATACAGCTCTCATTTCTGGCCATTCCAGAGTTGAAGTTAAGCATGAGGAGTCAAAATGCTCACTTTTGAATCAGAGAAGCTTGAAATTCAACGAGTCTCTCCTAGAGTTGAAACTTCAACTAGGGGACCATGAAAATCTTATTCCTGGCTCTTCTCTATAGCTGAGCTTGAACTAGATAAATAAACTATGGAATTCTATAAATGACCGGTTCTAACAGA